CGAGCCAGTGACCTACCAAAAAAGATGCTGCTGCTGATGTTCGGCAACCTCTTGGTACTGATATTGAAACCCCGCCACCGCCAATAATAAACATGTCAGCTGATAGATGAGGTCGTAGTATGAAGGAGTTTGTTGTGTCATGCATTTTGGCCACGAACAACCATCCCAAATCGGACAACCCTGAAAAGATAAAAATCAGCGGGTGGAGGAAACCTAACAGCATCCTGTATACCTTTGTGCCCTTATAATGACAGTAATTCTGCCCCCTAATATTAGAACCCCCACCCCTCTAATACTAAAAACTCGTGCTGCGGTATTTTATACTATTGGAAATATTGGGGACCTAAGTAGTGCAGGATTTGCTCCATCCACCGAAGGCTTCAAGTCCCAGACTCGTTGGTGCCAGGTACCTGCGGCTTTCTTTTCTTGAGATCTTGATAACATGCGGATTAGGGTTAGGAGTATAATCCTAAACCGAAACCTGCCAGAAAGAAAAGCCCGCCTACTTCGAAAACTCCTGCCTCTACTGTCTCGGACACGCTAAGCGAATTGGCAGCATCCACCCTTGCCGCCAGGGAGCCTTAGGTGTCCAGTGCATGTCACTTACAGGCTTTATGGTTATGGGTCGGGCTAAATAGCACCCAGAAAGGGCCTTAAGCCCTAAACCCTAAACTCTAAACTCTACCCCCCACACTCTACACCCTAAACTCTACACCCTAAGTCCCAACGCGCAAATGCTGTCAGAGATTCCTTGCTGGACAGCCGAGGAGCTTAGGTAGCTGAAGGCTGCAGAAATGGCTCCATCACGCCTGGCGTCACGCGGATCATATGACTACGGGCCCTTTCAGGGATCTATGGCTCACATGGGCCTTTCTAGAAGTTGCAGGACTTCTGAACTGCTGAAATGTGGCATAGGGATTATGGGATTGTCGGGGTCGACAGCTATTCCCCAAGTGCGGGCTCTTCCCATGCCGGACACCCACACCCTAAATCCTAAATCCTGAACCCTAAACCCTGCTCTTGAAGCAGGGGACCGCTTCAGGGACTGCCTGTTCTCGGGACACGTACGCAGCACTTAAGACAGAGGTTAGGAGGACCCTCCACCACGTAATACTGGTATAATAGAAATATAAGAGGACCCTAATACACTCCTCATTATCCCTCGTAGTCACTATTACTGGGTGGGGGCCACCTGAGATAGAGGGCTTAGGGGCGTCGTAGTTTCCGAAGATGACGGGTTCCTTGTTCATTCCGTGTTGAAGGCATAGGGCTTCTGCCTACTTGGGGCCCCAGTAATTGAAATTTCCAAGCCTATGCGTTGTGACAGCATGTGGGACATCCCAAACTGGTCCCGAACCATTGTACAAGCGTGGGGAAAACATTTACAGAGTCCCTCTGCTGAAAAACCGAGGTCATACTCACGGTGGTAAGTTACTACTCTCATATCTTACAGTTGTCTACCATTTTTATCGACCATACTTCTACAGTACTGCAACACTGCCGTGACTATGACTTCCATTCTGAAGAACGCACGCCTCTTGAACCCAAGAGGAAGCGATCCTCCTCCCCTGGAAGCGAACTGACTTTCTGCCTCGCAGGTCAGCAATAATTATAATAGCAGTAATAATGGTACTAGTAGTGAGAGTAATGACGATAATGATAAACAAGTAATAGTAGTAATAGTAATAGTAAAAGTAATGAGAAATAGTAAATAGAACTAGTAATAGCACATATTAAATAGTAATAGTAATAGGAATAGTAGTAGTAATAGTAGCAATAGGTAAGTAATAGTCATCGTCATATTTAATAATAGTTGTCATAGTTAAATCAGAGCAATAAACATAGTAAGGGTCATAGCAAGATCAATAGTTCTAGTATGGCCTGAAATCTACATGGGGGTCTCCCAACTTAAGGGCCAACTTTAAGAAGGATGGGGGATTTAAACAAACCCCAGATGAGCCCTTATCACCAAGCCCTGTACGAATTGTGGTAGTATACAGGACTCAGGGTCATGCAGGAGGTTTTTCATCCAAGAATTCCCCAACTAGTGAACATCAAGCCTGGGACCTTTGTGAATTTATATTTCAGTTTCTCCGGATTTTTGCGGTTTAACGTGCTTAACACAACACCACACGAATCAGTCCATACGTACACTGACCAACACTGGTGGAGAGCCATACATGCACTTGTCAAAGCCTATACAACAAATCCTACTTCACATTGCAGAATGTAAAAATCATGGTCCCTCTTGGGTTACCCTAAATTTTAGATGCCCCAGAAGGGATCATAGTTTTGACAACCTACCTTGGGTCATTCCCCCTTACAGTAACTGTCCTTGAAGGAGCCTTTAAAGGGGGCTAGGAAAACTCCCATTACCCATTGTGGTAACGCTTACTCTCAGGGGTAATGACGTTAAACCTGCCCCATGAATCCCCAAACCTTCTCGGCAGGCAGGGAGAGCGCAAATGCACACACCGGCGCGAAGAGAAATGGCAGGAGTCGATTGCACATACTGCGGTTTAGGGTTGAAGGTTTAGGGACTTTCAAGGATACAAATAGCCCAGGGCAGCTACTACTTATGAACTTTACTGTGCTCAGTAAGTATCATTCATGGACGCAGAGCTCTTTCAGGGTAAGTCGTTCGGTTGAGCATTTACGCTCTCATGGGGTAGGGTTCCAGGGTTTTGAGAAAGTTTGGTGATCAAACTTTCAAGGTTGCAGGTTAGGGCTTAGGGTCCAAATTTCCAGCTATTGCGCACCTGGTTCGGGTAGACCTTGGGAAGTATGTGATAATTCAATGCTGGAAACTGGAACCCGGAACGTTTGGAAGAGGCACATCACTGCGCCAGGAGGTAAGAGAAGGGGAATTTGACGATCTAGGCTGTTCTGCACTTGCATGAAGAATTGTCACCGGACCCCCCACCTTCACTAGAACCTTGTAAGTTTGAGGTAGGGCTTCTTTCCCTAATGTCCTACTACTTTGGACAGAAGTAGCCCATTATTTGTTGTAACTTGGCTTTTTAGGTAGAGCTCCCGGCGTAAATGGAGAAACTGTGGCTGTTTGTTTGGAGCTTGTCACTGAGGATTCTCCTGCGAGCCACGAAGTAGACATGTTACGAAACACGAGTGTCAATCTTGACCACTAGTTATGTGACACATTCACGTCCATAAGCCAATAGTCTTTTATATATCTTTATAAACAGTACATGGCATACCCCGACCACAATTTCAGCGATCTCCTACCCCAATCTTCCATATCTCGCATGCCGCAGCAACGGAAGCTGACTGCAGGCTAAAGCAGGAGAATCCGTGATTTTTGCTCTCCGGCGATACAATCGAAGCTTGTCGGAGAAGCCCGGCCTTTGAGAACAAGAAGGGTTTCTTACAAGCCTTGGGGTTCAGCGGTCTAAATCTAGGTAGGCATACTACGCAACACCACTGCTACTTGTAGCATTGTAGTAGTACCCTAACAGTCCATGTATCCAACAACTGGGGGATTTGGTACCGAAAACCAAACAGATCATGGTATTTGGGACATAAAACCCCATTAGGGACCATGGTCAATCGTGCAAAGGTGCACACACATGCCACCCTTTCTAGACAATGGCTATGCCCATCACAGTCTCTTAGCTGCAGAACACCTCCTGGGTTTTGTATCCTACCAACTTGTCGATATTTTTGACAAGAAGAGCAACACAAAACATCAAGATTCGCAGCTATGAAGGTAGTTCCCGAAATTAGGGTGCCGTTTTGGTACCCCCTACAAAATAGGGTGCCGCAATATAACCCGCAACCAAGGGGCCCAGGGTGTTAGAACTACCTATGAAATTGCAGCGCAGTTCGTGAGGATTTTCACTCTGGGGCAGCTTGGGATAGAGACCAGCTGTTTCCCGAAACTACGTTGCACCATGCGCACAGCTCATACTGAATCCCGAACCCCACACTCTTTTCCCATCCCGTTTGCAAACAAACCCAAAATCTCCTTCCCCAAACTTAACTGACAAAATCCTTATCTCGAAATTTCATATCTCAAATTCTATACCTTAGACGCTCGACCCAAATTCCTCAACCCCAGACCTGCCGGCCTAAACACTAAACCCAACACCTGGCAGTTTTTTCTGTCAACCCCAAAAAACTGCATTACTCTCAGTATAATGGTAGAACTACCACAGTTGCAATGGTCGCGCATAGGACTCTAGGATCCGGCAGGATGCGTCCCTCAACAGCATATCCTTGTTTTGCAGCGGCCTTGTCCAGGGACTCCGGCCGGTCTGCTCCTACAACAATAAGTCCTAAACCCTAAACTCTCAAGCCAAGACCCTAAGCAATAAACATCTAAATCCTATAAACCCTACAAACTCCATAAACCCTCTGAATTCTATAAACCCTAAAAACCCAAAACCATAACTCCGAAATCCTAAATCCCAAGCCCTATGAAACCCCAATACCTAATCCTTAAACCCTGAAACCCGGAGCCATGCTCTCCATCTTGGGCCCTGTGCCACGTAGGGATCCGCCAGGTCTCGATTGGCTCCCACTCCTCCAGTCACCAAGCATTTGAAACCCTAAAAACTAAACCCTACAAACCATAACCCTAAAACCTAGAACCTAAAAACTAAACCCTAAACCCTGGGGTTTGGTACCTGGAAAGCCAATTGCCCATTATCATAATCTAATTTTCTGCCGACTTCCTACCACTTTGGGTTGAAGTGACCCATCATTTTGGCCAACTAGGCCTGTGGAGGAAGGGATTAGGGTTTGCTGAGGGACTGGTTGAGGTTCATTATTTGAGGTACTCTGTATTACAATATGCAAGGAACCCAAGACCATAGAAATGGGAATTGTTCCTGATAAACCCTTCTAGAACCCCATTTCCATGCTATCCCCATTTCCTTGTTGATTTGATTCTCCATAAGTGGGGCAATATCCTCAATTCCTATAAAACCCTAAACCCTAAACCCAAAGCCCGAAATGCAAAACCCTCCCTACAGCTCCCTGGCCTCTGCAATTTTGGAAAGCAGCTCCCGGCCTTCGCTTCGGAAGGTTATGCTCCAATTTGAGTAGTGGGTTGGTTATTTAAGGTTTAGGGTTCCGGGTAGAGGCCCAAAGTCTAAGGTTTGAACCAAGGGCCCATAATCCTGCGATCCTTGTACACCTACTCTACGCTTTCTAAGCCTTTGCACCTAACATCTAACCCAATTAACTGCCGATGGTTGGACTCAGGAAACAGGTAGGGGCCCAGATTAGGGACCGTGGTTAAAACCCTAGACAGAAGGGTCTCAGGCTTTGCGTTAACGCCGTTTGGGTGTATACTATACTTGAACAAGGCGTATGATTTGTTTTTCAACTTTTGAGGTTTCTACATTACTGCCTCCATCGAGAAACAATCTCCTTGACCGACAGAGGGGCGACCTCAAAAGGTTGCATGAAAAGATAGGGCTTGTGGCTCAGACGTTTCTCACAATCGAGGCAGTAAAAGGGCTTCGAATATGCATTGGGTTTTCATTGTCCAACTGATAGTAGTTCCGCAGGTTTCACTCTCAAATGCAGGTCCTATAGTTGACCATCAATACCTAGCAACCCCAAACCCCAATAAAAAGCAGACTATTTGTACAGAACCCGTCTTTGATAGATGGAAGCCGAAAGAGTTCGGTTCTTGTAAAAATAACCGGGTTATTCCCAGCATACCTGCTTTTCAGGTGATTTCATGGAATCCACGGCGCCACAGGGTTCCTCATTTGGAAATTCTGGAGGTCATAAACCATTTTATGGCAGGTTGATTCTGTTTGCTCCTGCTGCGCCAGTTCCGGGAGAGTCAGAGCATGCATGTCAGCAATGATGCAACAATCTATGGAGAGCTGCGTTGCCTATAGACCCCCGAAATCCATAAGATTATGGCATAAGATTGTGGTAGCAAGCGGTAAAGACAGCCATCGCATGCAAATTTAGGGCAAACATTTTTCCATGCCGCGCTCGAAGCTGCGGGAGAAGCTGAAGGCGCGGTGCTCCTGCTTTCAGTCCTTCAGGGGCAGAGAGAAGCTGCAATCCATCTTTCTGTTCATGACTTACCCATCCTGCTCAAGAAAGCTTGCGTCGCGCTGAGAAACAACTCTCGGTCAAGTATCGCAAGTTTAACTGATGCAACAGGCAGTGCAGGATCTTGTGTTCAAAGCGCTGTGTCAAATTTCTTCATGTGTAGCTGCGCGTTGTTCCTCCATAGAAGCCTTTACAGTGATCTAGATTCTGTGCCTGATCATGGCAGCTGCCAATGTTCCTTTGGATGATCTTGCTAAAGAGTGGGATGAGATACCGGAGGTCCGCAACCGCATCAGGGCAAGTGGTCAATTGCTGGGTCCAGGGAGCGACAAAATTTGTCAAAAATCGACGATTATCAACAAGGATGTTCTTGCACCAGTCTTGGGGAGGATGGCAGCATCGACAGGCAAGGCCAGATTGCCACCATCCCCAGCCGTTGAGGATCTTCGAGAGCAAATCAACGAGTTGATGGTTTTGTCCAAGCAGGAAACGGACTTTGCCAAGGTGGATGATGCGGCCTGGCAAATCCGCAGATTCACTGCCTTCTTGAAAGTCAAGACTCGTAAGCAAGACGTCTCTAACGAATCCAGGCTTCATATTGTGATGTCGAGTTTTCTACGACATTTCATTGGTGTTAAGTAAGGTTATGTCCAAGATGTATCGAACGATTCAGGATCCGGATTTCCAAAAGCTGGTGCTGATCCTTGATCCGTTCCTGGAAGTCTCTTAGCAGCAAATTCAACGAGTCTCAGCGCTTCTGACGTTCTTTGATAAATGTTTACAATTGATTGTGTCCGCCCTTTCTGGGAGCTGCCCCATTTGCATCTATAGGATGTGGTTGAGAGAGTCAACGCCCAATTGGCGGCAAGAAGATCTTCAAGCTCCCTTGGCCAGGACAGTAGGTTGCCAGAAAGCCTTCCAGGGTCCTATAGTTTCCAGTTATGTGTCTCAAACCTTTGACATCAGGATGATGACGAGCCTGAGGTGGACGAGGATGCTTACGATGACGATGATGCCGACGCGGAAACAAATCATGGAAATGCACGCGGTTCAGCGGATGGACGCGGGTCTGCGCATGAAGGTGATCCAGCGGCTATGGGCGGGACTGTTGGCGAACCTAGTGCCTCTTCCTCAACGCATGATACCAGGATCGCACCTCCTCCTGAGCAAGATCAAGCTGAAGCGCCTCCTCCTGGCGCTGTTGTGGTCATTGACGACGACGAGCTTGTGAAGAGTGAATTGCGTGGAGATGAAGCTCCAGATGAAGCTCCAGATTCCGTGCCGAATGGCCATGCAGCAGCAGTGACCGCCCCAGTGGCGGATGCTCCTGCAGTGGCGGAAGCTCCTCCAGTTGCCCCTGTGCCTGAGCCTCCCGCGCCCACACCAGTGCCCTATGAGAAAGCATGGTCTGATATATCCAGCTGCTAGGCTATTGCTTTGAACGATTTGTGTGCAAGATGTTGAGTTGACAAGTTGTTGAGTGTTCATGGCAAAGCCTTTTTGCGTGATTATATAAGGTTGTACTGGCAACGACCTTTTGGAGCGGCTGACAACTGCCAGGGCAAGGCTGGCTGAGTGTTCGCCTTACACCTTTACATCCATATCAGCTTGCAAACCGTGCGAGTGAACTGAACTGCATGCCTTGCAAAGACACACCTGAAGAATTAGGCTCCGGGCCCGGAGGGAGGCCGGCGAGAAAGCTTCAGGATCAGAAGCCCCAGCTGCAGGAAGCATCTCCAGTGTCCCAGCGCAATCTACATACATGTTCTGTGCATGATTTTTTTGAAAGTAGTTGCGATTGCATCGTGATTTCTTAAGGCGAGGGCCCGTCATCCGCTGCTAGAGGATATGGCATGGACACTGATGATACGCAGCCTGTAGATGTAATGCAGCTGCCGGAGCCTCCAGCCGGCGCCGTGGACGGCTTCATTGCGGAGGTTGACACGTCTGAGGCCATGCGCGAGAGCTTCCAGAGAAGCCACCCCCGCTGCAGCGAGCCAGTGGCAAGCGAGAAGGCTGAGGACACTAAGCACGTTGAGAATCCTGGTGAGTACACACCTTCCGCTGAGGCAAGTTTTTTTGGCGTGAGTAGGCGAGGGTAAGGTTTTGGCCCTTCAAGGTTTCAAGGCCATATATAGAAAGACTTTAGTTCGAAGGGGGATGCCACGAACTACGTGACGCGGGCGGAGCAGTTGAGCGTGCGCAGCAGCAAGAGGAAGTCTCGCTGCAACAAGAACGACAAGAAGGCTAGGAAGACCATCAAGAAGCGTAAGGTTTCGCGTGCCCGCAAGGCAGGCAACCACAAGGCCATCTCACGTCGCAGGAGCATCTTGAGGAAGTCTTCGAGTTCTTCCACCTTGCCTGACCGCAAGGCGGACTTTCATGATGTGGATGATGAGGTTGATGAGGTGGCGGAGCACAAGCCCACGCCACGCAGCAAGCGGGGTCGCAAGGTTGACTCGAAAGGCAAGGGCAAGGATGCAAACGCGATGGAATCTGAGACCAAGCCTGCCAACTCAGGCGCAAAGCCCAAGTCGACCCCAAAGGCCAAGGCAGTTCCAAAGGCCAAAGCAAAGGCGAAGGCCAAGGCAACTGCCAAGGCCAAAGCAAAGGCCTCGGCAAAAGCCAAGGCGAAGGCCAAAGCCAAGAGCAAGGCAACTCAGAGTGGAAAGGCTTCGACAGAGAAAGCTGGCAAGCGCAAGAAGCCTGTTGCTGGGGAAGGCGATCTGTTCATTGAGCTTGACTACGACAGGCTAGACACCGATGAGCAGCTCGAGGCCATTGCTAAGCGGCTGTATGAGTTTGCCAGCGAGTGGGCCACTGACGAGGGCAACGCCGACCTTGATCACTTCAAGAGCCGCATGAGGGATGTGACCCCGAAGTTCCGCCACACGCTCCTGAATGCCTATTGGACACGTCCTGCCTGTGGACTTACCCTCAAGGCGTCGAGGAAGGACTTTGGCAGCTTCGCATTCCAATCGAAGGTGGTGCCGACTTATGTTCGGATGGCAGTGGCAATTGGAGCAGCCTGGCTTCTTGCTCCTAGACTTGAATCCAGAGTGCCGATTACGACCTTAAATTCATTTGGGCTTGATTTTCGTTCATTCTTTGGTCTTTGGTCTTGAGGCGGATTGGTTTTGAATTCCATGGATCCTAAGGGGGATTTCGTGGAGCACCAGCTGACCAAGCTGCCCATTGAGGAGCACGAAGGCTTTGCCACGGAAGGTTACGATGTGTTCATGAACCATCATTTCACACGCGATTTCATTCAGTTGGTCAAAGAGCAGAGCCAGCACGCAATGGAGTGCCTGACCCACGCGTATGAAGGGTTCAGGGCTGGGCGCAGCTTGTCTGATGAGTGAAAGGGTGCCGAAGCTATTTAACCCCCGGCCAAATCATCAACGCTTGGCTGGTAGATTTTGATTGCTAGTGCCACAATGTCGGGATAGTTGCGTGTCGCCGCAGTGTGCTTGCGAAGTGGGCGGCCCTGAGCATATTTTTGACTTCAGGCGGGGAACGCAATTGCGCTGCAAAGCGCGCAGCTGTGCATAGGGTGGCAGCCCCTTGCGACTGATCGCTACGTTAGTTTAACATTATGATTGAGTTATTTACATGAAGACACTGTATGATGTTGATTTCGGATGTGAGGGGAGAATCCATCAATGTTTCTAGAATGTTTGTTTTCTCAGTACAGCGATGAAGCGCAGGGTTTTCAAAGTTTCAGCGCAGCAGCGCTGATCCTATCAAGACCCAGATTTTGCCTCTTTACTTGGGTCATCCATTCCAACACTGTCCTGGTCCATCTCAAGAATGGGCGATGGCAGATGTCGCAGCCTTTGTTCGCCAGGATTGCCAAGCTTCAGGCAGCAAGAAAAGCTCACAGCGCTTCATTATTCTGATGCACATTGGCGTAGCATGTTTCAAAATATAATGCTCAGGCAATGACATGTGTGACCCCTTGCCATTGGAGACTCAAGCCCCGTGCTGAAAGAC